AATTGTTTCATCACCCTTAAAAGACACTTAGTACCCCTTAAGCAGTAACTCCCCATTTCCCCCTCCCAAGCACCCCTGGTAACTACTAATAAACTTTGGTTCCTAAGCATTTGCTTATTCCAGATATTTCATATAAATGGGTTCATGCAATATTTGTCCTTTTGTGTCTGACTTATTTCACTCAACATAAGGTTTTCAAGAAGTCCCTGGGTGGTGTAAATGTTAATGCACTTAGCTGCTAACTGAAAGGCTGGAGGTTTGAGTCTACCCAGAGGTGCCTCAGAAGAAAGGCTTGGCAATCTACTTCTGAAAAATCTGCCACTGAAAACCCTATGAACACAGTTCTGCTCTGACTCACACGGTGTCATCATGAGTTGGAGCTGACTCGATGGCAACTGGTTTACTGTTTTCAAGGTCCGTCCATGTTGTAGCACCCATCAGGACTTCATTTCTCTTTACGGCAGAGTGGAAATGCCATTATATATATATAACATATATATATACTTTGTTTATTCATTCTTCTGTTAATGGACATTTGGATTGTTCCCACCTTTTGGTTATTGCGAATAATGCTGCAATGAAAATTGGTGTACAAGTATCTGTTCAAGTGCCTACTTTCAATTCTTTTGGGTGTATACTTAGGAGTGGAATGAATTGCTGGGTCATATGATAACTGGTAAGCGTTCACTTGCTAACCAAAAGGCTGGCAGTTCAAATCCACCAGCCACTCCTTGGAAACCCTATAGGGCAGTTCTACTCTGTCCTATAGGGTCACTATGAGTCGGAATTGACTCGATGGAAATGGGAAAAAAAAAAAACGGTAATTCTATGCTTAACTTTTTGAAGACTGTCAAAACTGTTTTCCACAGCGCTGTGCCATTTTACATTCCTACCAGCAATGGATAAAATTTCCAAGCAATTCCACTTTTAACATCTTTAGAAATGTATTCAAAGATTCGTCTCTGTTCATCAGTTATTTATAAAAGGAAAAAAACTAGTCTAAATGTCCATCAGAAGGTGATTAGTTGAATAAATTATATCTGTTATTGTTGTTATTGCTGTTAGCTACTGTCGAGTCACTCATAGTGACGCCATGTGTGCAGAGTAGAACTGTTCCATAGGGTTTTTAAGAAGCAGATCTCCAGGCCTGTCTTCCAAAACACCTCTGGGTGGGTTCAAACCACTAACCTTTCAGCTAATAGTTGAGTGCTTAATCATTTGCATCTCCCAGAGACTCCAATGATGTGTCCATATATAGCCACTGAAAAGGATGTGATATAGAAAAAGTATTCTGTACAATATATCCCATTTTTAAAAAAAAAACTTTAAGGAGAAAAAGACTGGCAAGATTGATGTTAGTGGGATTACTGGTGATTTGTTTTTATGTTTTCCTGTATTTTTGAGGGTAAATACATAATACTATAATCAGATTAAAACTAGTCCTTAAAGGAAAAAAAGTAGAACAAGAATATTACGGAGAGAAGGGTGGTGGTAACACATCAAGACATGACTGCTGCTTTTACAGATCTCTCATGAAAATGTTCACATTGTCTGAAAATGCAGGCATTTGGAAATGGCAGGGGTCTCAAGCATGGGCAAAGGGTTCAAATCCTGGTCACTCTTGAGAACCTACCAAGCATTTTCTACAGCCTGCTATATCTTACTTACAAGAGGACATATCATGTCCTGGAGAAGTAGTTTTCAAACACTACTTGAATTTTAAGAAGATACATTCTACAAATGTTTGATTCAAATCTTTTTAAGTATTAAAAAAAAAAACTATAAAACAAAACAGCTACACTCAAATGTGCTAATACACCAGCATCAAAACACCAAGAAAGGGTTTATGTGTGTTGTGAACTTAACTAGATTATGTGAAGACCACAGGATGAATGTTAGCCTGATGTTGCGAGGTGGACTCATTATAAAATTCCTGCCATTTGCAACCACTTATCTTTGCAAATCAAGATTTTCTCAATGTTACACAAATAAAACAAAGCATAACTGAATGCTGAGGTTTATAAAGACTGTAATTGTCACCCACTATCCCTAACTTCAAATACCTGTGTTCATCCCAACGACTCTGCTGTTCTCTTCGATTGAACTTCTAATAAGTTATAAACTCAAACTTATGAAAAAGCTTTCAAATAGAGTTTCTCAACCTCAAGACTACTGACATTTTGGGCTGGCTAATTCTTTGATGAAGGCGGCTGTCCTGTGCATTGTAGGATGTTTAGCAACATCCCTGGCCTCTACCCACTAGATGCCAGTAGCACCTCTGCAGCCATGACAACAAAACGTCTCCAGACATTGTCAAACGTCCTATCCGGGTGCGGGGGAGGGCAGCAAAATCGCCCCCACTTGAGAATCACTGTTTATATTAATCAAATACTACATTTACCTATTTTTGTATTAGGGGTTTGCCTGAGAACTTAGTTAATAAAAAAAGGGTCTCCTGCTTAAAAATAAATTGTTTTGAAGTATAAAAGTAAAGAATACTTTTAGATCCCAGGTTCAAATCTTGACTCGACTCTACTATCTGTTTGCCTTTCTCTAACCCTTCTAATAAGCTGTTACCTCATCTGAAAAATAGGAATAATGTGCACTGGATTAAATGAGACAACTTATATAGACTAGCACTTAGAAGATGCTCCATAAATCAGATCTATTATTATTGTTGTTGCTATTGTTAAGGCCCCAGCTGACCAGACCCCGTGGCTCTTACCTGATTTCTGTAGATTCTTTCGGTAGCCGCTCAGATTCAGCTGGGTGATGGTCTCTGACACATGTGCCACAGCAACTTGCACGTGCTTTTCAGTGAAGTCAAAACACCAGGAGAGGTTCAGCTCATTCAACCTGTACAGAAGATGGGTGACAGGAAAGTATGAAAGCACCGCATGGAAAAGAGTTCTCCGGAGAATGATTCTCTGCTTAGCTGCTCTTGTGTGCCGTCCAGTTGATCCTGAATCATAGCGACCCTATGGGACAGAGTAGAACTGCCCCATAGGATTTCCTAGGCTGTAATCTTTACGGAAACAGACTGCCAGGTCTTTTCCCCAGAGTGGCTGGGGGGTTTGAACCGTTGACCTTTTGGTTAGCAGCTGAGCGCTTAACCATTGTGTCAGTAGGGCTCTTTTCTCTGCTTAGAGAGGGCCCTAAAACAAAGAAAGAGGGGGTCTCACTATATCATGCTGGCCAGGGAGTGACCAGCTCAGAGCACTGCCTAAAACTGCAGTGAATATACAAAGCTACAGATTTCTTTCCTTTTACACACAGAGCCCCTGCTTCTCTAAGCAGCTACCTTTGCTCACCTGAAAATGCCTTCCCCCTTCTTGACACTCTCCCTTGACCCAGTTTGTCCCTGAAAATTGCCAGGAGATCTAAGCAGAGGCCTTAGTGAATGCTGCCCCCTTCTGGAAGTGGAGGGGAGTACTCGCTTCTCCTTTGATCTGTCCTGATGGCACAAATCTCCTTCTAGGACTGAATGTAAAAATGCTAGTCTCTGTATTTTCTTTCTCAAACCACTTGGGTAGGTATAGCAAACAATCACAAAGACTGAGCAATCACCCAAGCTGTCTGAAATAAATTGACAGATTATACTAGGGATTCCTAATAAAGAGCAGTGGACATTGCAAAAAGCCACTTCATCTTATTTTGCCTCAGCTGAGACAACCAGGACTTCAAAGACAGCATCCAAACATTAAGCCTCCCTTCCCCTCTCTGGAGCTCTGGTGGCACAGTGGTTAAGAGCTTGGTTGCTAACCAAAAGGTAGGCAGTTCAAATCCACCAGCCACTCCTTGGAAACTCTATGGGGCAGGTCTACTCAGTCCTATAGGGTCATTCTGAGTTGGAATTGACTCGATGACAGTGGGTTTGGTTTGGTTTCCCCTCTCTGGCATTAACTGACTAAAGATAGGGCTATACGTTTTATCTTGTTGGTAACATTTTCTTGTCCGAAAGCAATCTACTTTCAACAAATCATGAACAAGACACAGGTACGATGCTGTACCACACAGCCCAAGGGATATTAAAAAAACAAACAAAACTCATACAGATACGGTATTGTGTATTCTGTAAACCATACCTCTCCTCACTTAGTAATATCTGCAACTTTGTAGTCTTTATGTATTAACCTTACTATATATAATAAAGATGTTTTCCATGAAGTCACCCAAATTTATGGTTTACATTAGCAATGTACCAAATTTAATTAAAAACTGTAAATTAGGTCTATAGATACCATGGGGAAAAAACCTGTGTGGTCAAGTGTAAACAGATTTCTTTCAACCACCCTGTTGATAAACATACTACTATATTTTCCTTATTTTTGGTAGTAACAAAAAAAAAAAAAAAAAAAGGGATCTCTGCACAAGTATCCTTTGCAATCTAAATTGATCTGGCTCATGAGTTTAGACAACAAATTTGAGAGCAAAGGGTACTGCTGCATTATCCAAATCTACTTGGCTCCTGGATTTTGGATAAAGAGTTGCAAGAACTTAGATAGGTAGGAATGGCTTAAAAAATCCACCCAATTCTTTTCAGATGTGGGAGCTCCTAGGAGGCACAAATGGTTAAGTGCTTGACTACTAGCTGAAAGGTTGGCGGTTCGAACACACCCAGAGACACCCTGGAAGACTGGCCTGGTGATCTGCTTCTGAAAGGTCACAGCCTTGAAAACCCTATGGAGCAGTTCTACTCTGCACAAATGGGGTCACCATGAGTCAGAGATAACTGGGTGGCAACTAATAACAACGACAGATATGAGAGATAATTGTATATTGATAAAACAGCACTATAATCAAGTCTCAAATCTTTCCTACCTGGAACAGCTACTTAGCAAAGCCTTCAGGGCAGATTCGGAGAATCCAGAACACCCACAAAGGTTTAGTCGCACTAAATTTGAGTTCTGCGCAAGATTACTGGAAAAAGAAAAAAATGACAAAGGAATACCAATAAGACACTCTTATTTGATCAGCAAGCATCCAGAGGAATGGAGAATAGTGAAGTAGTTAAGTGCACAGGCCTCCGAGTCAGAAGCAAATTTAAACCCACCTCTCACTTATCTGTATGATACTTGGCAGAGTGCTTGGCCTCAATTTCATCATCTGATAATTGGCAATATCAGTACCTTCCTGGTAGGGTTGTTAAGAAGATTAAATGATATAATGTAATAAAGGACTTAGCACAGTGCCTGGCATAGAGTAAATGCACAAGAAACACCAGTCAATGTACTTTTTAAATTTAAGGGGGAAAAAAAGAGAATGGAATAAACTTATTTCAATTTCTCCCATAACTGGAATTGGCTTGTAGGCAAACTTCTACTTATAAAGTCACCACCAGCTTCTTTCAATTAATCGTCTCTCAAATTTGCCTTCTCCACTACATTCCCAAACGTCCTATATTAGTGACCCATTAAGAACAAGAATTCCGGAGTGATACTATATTGACAGGTTCAAATCTTAGTTCTGCCACTTATTAACTGTATAACCTTGGACAAGTTATTTAGCCTCTCTGTACCTCAGTTTCCACATCTGTAAAAAAAGGCACAGTAAGAATATAGTTCATGGGGTTACTGTGAGAATTAAATGATATAATACATTTAAAAAACTTGGTATCTGGCACATAAGAAGCACTCAATAAATGTTAGCTGCTATTATTATTATTTACGTATATTTTTATATCTGGTTCATCGTTTACCACATGAATGAACAAAACAGTCTCTCCTAACTGGTCTAGTTTCTTCCACGTCTGACTGATCTTCCAGTGCCTAGAGTTAATTTTCTAAATTTCAGTTCTGGCATGTCCCTTTCATTCTCAAAATCATTCCCTTCACCACCCTTCTGTCTTTATAGCCTACCACAGAGTCCACACTTCTTGCACCATGACAGAGGCCCGTTCTGATTTGGTCTCTGCCTATCCTCACCTCCTGCCACTCCCCTAGCTGAACCCTATGCTCCAGCAATCCCCAACTCCTTAAGAGTTTAGAACTACACAGGCAGTTTACCTAGGCTGCTTCCTTTGCCCTATCACTGCCCTACCTGAGTATATTCAATACTCAGCTTGAGTCCCTTCCTCTAAAAAAGCTGCCCTCTCTCAATTTAATTAAGTCTTCCTTTGTATTGCCACATATTCACTGATGCTTTTAATAAACACACTGCACTGTAATTATCTGTATCTCCCATAAATGAGGCAGGGACAATGCCTTGTTCATCCCTGATCTCTAGAACCTAGTAAAGGGCTTGGCATATAGTTAGTATTCAAAATGTTGTTGCCTAGATGAGTCCTGGAAGCTTTGCAGAAGATGGAGCACTGGATATTTTCTGTGGCCATCTGGATAGGGATGGAAGGGCACCCCAGTTATATTCAGGAAACAAAACTGACACACACAAAATTAATCTCCTTTGTGACATCTTCCTGGCCACCACTTACCTGACAATGGGATCTGAAAGCTGTAGGCCTTCCAGACTTAGATTCTGCAGCTTGGAGCACTGAGACAGAATGTCATGGAGGGTAGACACATTTATTACAGAGTTTGACAGATCCATGTGCTGGACACGAAAAGTGCTGAACACAGAACAGAAAAAGAGACTTCATAAGGCGGCTCGCACAAATACATCCAGATCAAATCCACTCCCTTCTCCCCAAATGAGCAGCCAGTAACAAACATGACCCGAATTACACATTTTGAGTATTAGTTATAGTTTTGGTCACAAAGCAAATTCCTACCAGCTAATTCCCATCCTCATTCATTTCACAGTTCAAGAAGACTTTAGTTGAGTACAGATACTGTCGCCAATACAGTCCCCTTAGAAAATTAATTAGAGGGTGTCATGAGAGTGAGCTGGATGGTAGGTGATGAAGAGAGTAAGCCTATGAGGCCTCCTGGTTTCTGGTGAGAGTGAAAGCGTGCATGGCAGCAGCATTTACTAAAACATGGAAAACAGTGGAAGAACAAGTTTCAAAGGCAGGCTGTGCTTAATTTTAGATATGCTAATATGGATTCTGGGGGTGGTACAAATAGTTAATTCTCTTGGCTGCTAAGTGAAAGGGCTAGAAGTTCAAGTCCACCCAGAGGCTGGTGATCTACTTCTGAAAAATCAGCCTTTGAAAACCCTATGGAGCACAGTTCTACTCTGACACACGAGTTTGCCATCAGTCAGAACTGACTCACCAGCAACTGTTTTTTGTGGTTTAATATTGAGGTACTTGGAGTAAATTCAGGTACAGAAGTTTTTAGGTAATTAGAAACAGGACTTTGTTTGAAAGACAGACTTGAACTAGAGATGAGTATTTGAGAGTCCTGGGCGTTAATTTAGGCGACCTGGTGGTGTAGTGGTTAAACACTTGGCTGCTAACCAAAAAGTCGGCAGTTCAAACCCACCAGCTGCTCTGTGGGAAAAGACGTGGCAGTCTGCTTCCATAAAGATTTAGAGCCTTGGAAACCCTGTGGGCAGTTCTACTCTGTCCTACAGGGTTGCTATAGGTCAGAATCGACTCGATGGCAGTGGGTTTTGTTTCGTTGTGGAGGGCATTAATGTGGGTGTCAGCACACACCCTGCCCAAGAACAGTATATGAATCAAGAAGAGAAGGCAGCCAGGGACAGACCTTGGAGTGAACAAAGGAAAGCACACGTGTGAAGGAGACGGAGAAGGTGCCGCCACGGGAGTAGGATAAAAACCAAGTGGGAGAGGAATGCCACCATCTGACTAAGGAAAGAAGGGAAAATACTAGTGTCAGAACACATATGCTTAATTCTTAGTACTGTTGTTTTTAGCTTATTTTCCTGCTTAGTTTCTAGTTACTGTTCTCAAGTATGAGACGGTACTAAACCACATTGCAAAACTATCAGTAATCTAGAAATACACGCTATTTAGGATCGCTTTTCGAACTATTCTATAAAACAAACAAATAAGGCATTTTTTTTCAGGCTGCAAATTTATCCACAATAGGATCATAAAACTGGTATAAAGCTCATACACTCTTTTATTTATCAGAAAAGGGGAGTGGGGAAATAAAGGGGCAGCCTTATGTCTGCCGGTGAATATTCTTGGTCTCTGTCTGCTAAGAACCCAACTGGAGAAGCTAAATATGCGCATCTTTGACCCTGGGAACAGTAAACCCTGAGTTAAAATGGAAATGATGCCAATGCAACCTGTGCCATGTTTCAACATAAAGGCTACATATCAAGATACGCGATTGATATCCCAAATTCTACAGAAGATTTGCCATAGGTTATAAGGTTGGAAATGTAACCAAGAAGTTTTGAGCTGTTTTTCCATCTCAAGATTTAGAAATAGTTTTTCTCTGGAGTTTTTTTTTTTTTTACCTGAAATTTTCAACTAATGGTTGGTCCATAAATGACCGTGGGCAGCGGAAGGCAATGACCCCTCGAGACAGCAACCGAACAATCACATCTGGGTGCAGACTTTTACCTGTGAGGTCTAAGGTCTGCCACAGAGACTCATCAATCCTGGAAAAGAGGAGATGGTTGATTTGGTAAGTTGGCCACACAAAATCCTAGAGGCCCTCAGCAATGGTACTAACAAGGAGGACACAGCACCTAAATCCCCTTGAAGCAAATTCTGAAGGGACCTTTTTTTTAAGTTGACTATACAATTACTTATAATATTTTAAGGCACAATTGAGTATTTCTTGATCATAGCATGGATAAACTTCCACATTTCTCTTTATATATATTTCCAATTTGGATGGTTCAATGCTACCATTAGCAATGCAATGATCTGAAACCACAGAATAAAATTCCTACATTCAACTCCATTTGACAATATTAAAAATGATTAACAAATTGTTTAATTTATTATTACTAGGTGGGTAGGTTCAAAATAGCCTAAATGATCACACTTGGCCATTTTTTGTTAAGAATGGATAGGTTACCACAATTACCATAAGTAACATGTAAATATAACTAAAGAAGGAAAGTTAGTACTGTTTTATGATGATATATAGTTGTTAGGGACATCTACAAGGAAAAATAATCACAGTTTAGCTTTGTTTTCAAAATCTCACATTAGACAAAAGAATAATAATCTTTAAGTTTAAAAGTTATACATGTTTATAATAATATATAAACAATATATAAGAAGTATATAAAATATATATGACAATGTATTTATAGACATATTTATCTGTATGTATACAATAATATATATCTATATTTTTTATTTTTATATTATTATATATGTATATACATTTTCAGAAGCACCTCGGAAGACATGCCTGGCTCTGGTTATCTGCTTCTAAAAGGTCACAGCCTTGAAAACTCTATGAAGCAGTTCTACTCTGCACACATGCAGTCATCATTAGCTGGAATTGACTCAATGGAAACTAACAACAATGTATTATATATGAAGCCCTGGTGGCACAGTGTTTAGGTGCTCAGCTGCTAACCCACAAGCTGCTTCATGGGAGAAAGATGTGGTAGTCTGCTTTCTTAGAGATTACAGCCTAGGAAACCCTATGGGACACTTCTATTGCATCCTATAGGGTTGCTATGAGTTGGAATCAACTCAATGAAAATGGGTTTATATACATATATATATAAAAACTTATATATGTAAGTTTTTGTAGTTGCTAGGTGCTGCTGAGTTGGTTCCAACTCATAGTAACCCTATGTACAACAGAACGAAATACTGCCCAGTCCTGTGTCAGCCTCAAAATCGTTGCTATGTTTGAGCTCACTGTTGCAGCCACTGTGTCAATCCATCTCCTTGAGGGTCTTCCTCTTTTTCACTGATCCTCTACTTTACCAAGCATGATGTCCTTCTTCACGGACTGGTACCTCCTGATAACATGTCCAAAGTACATGAGATGAAGTTTCACCATCCTTGCTTCTAAGGAACATTCTGGCTGTACTTATTCCAAGACAGATTTGTTTGTCCTTCTGGCAGTCCATAGTATATTCAATGTTCTTCGCCAACATCATAATTCATAGGCATCAATTCTTCTTTCAGTCTTCCTTATTAATTGTCCAGTGGTTGCATGCAAATGAGGTGACTGAAAATACTACAACTACAGCTTCGGTCAGGTGGACCTTAGTCCTCAAGGTGACATCTTTGTTTTTTAACACTTCGAGAGGTCTTCTGCAATAGATTTGCCCAATGCAATACATCCTCTGATATCTTGACTGCTGCTTCCATATGGGCGTTGATTGTGCATCCAAGTAAAATGAAATCCTTGACAACTTCAATTTTTTCTCTTTTTATCATGATGTTGCTTATTGGTGAGTTATGAGGATTTTTTGTTTGCTTTATGATAAGATGTAATTCATACTGAAGGCTGTAGGTTTTGATCTTCATTAGCAAGAGCTTCAAGTCCTCTTCACTTTGAGCAAGCAAGGCTGCATCACCTGCATACTGCAAGTTGTTAATGAGTCTCTCTCCAATCCTGATGCTGTGTTCTTCTTTATAATAGTCTAGCTTCTCATATAATTGTTCAGCATATAGATTGAAAATTTATGGTGAAAGGATACAACCCTGACGCATACCTTTCCTAATTTTAAACCACGCAGTATCCCCTTGTTTAATCTGAATGACTGCTTCTTGGTATATGTACAAGCTCTGCATGAGCACAATTAAGTGTTTTGGAATTCCCATTCTTCCCAGTATTCTCTGCTTTCAGCCAAGATCCACCTGACAGCAAGCAATGATAGCCCTTGTTCCACATCCTCTTCTGAACCTGGTTTGAATTTCTGGCAGTTCCCTATCAAAATACTACTGCAACTGTTTTTGAATTTTCTTCAGCATAATTTTACTTGGATGTGATATTAATGATGTTGTTCGATAATCTCTGCATTCCACTGGATCACCTTTCTTTGGAATGAGCACGAATATGGGTCTCTTCCTCTCCAATGGCCAGGTAGCTGTTTTCCAAATTTCTTGGCATAGACAAGCGAGCACTTCCAGCACTGCATCTGTTTGTTGAAACATTTCAATTGGTATTTCCATCAATTCTTGGAGCCTTGCTTTTCACCAATGACTTTACTGCAGCTTTGACTTGTTCCTTCAGTACCATTGGTTCCTGACATATGCTACCTCCTGAAATGGTTGAACGTCAGCCAATTCTTTTTGGTACCGTGACTCTGTGCCGTCTTCTTTTAATGCTGCCTGCATCATTCAATACTTTGCCCATAGAATTCTTCAATATTGCAACTTGAATGCTTGAATTTTGTCTTCAGTTCTTTCAGTTTGAGAAATGTTGAGCGTATTCTTCCCTTTTGGTTTTCTGACTCCAGGTATTTGCACATTTTATTATAATACTTTGTCTTCTTGAGCCACCCTTTAAATCTTCTGTTCAGCTCTTTTACTTCATCATTTCTTTCTTTCACTTTACCTACTCCATGTTCAGGAGCAAGTTTCAGAATCTCTTCTGATACCACTTTGATTTTTTATCTTTTCCTGTCCTTTTGCTTTCTTCATGTATGATGTCACAACTTGTCTGATCTTCAATAATTAGTGTTCAATGTGGCAAATTTATTTTTGAGATGGTCTTTAAATTCAGGTGGGATATACTCAAGGTTGTGCTTTGGCTCTCATGGACTGGTTCTAATTTTCTTTAGCTTCAACTTGCACTTGCCTATGAGCAATTCATGATCTGTTCCACAGTTGGCCCTGGCCTTTTTCTGACGATGACACTGAGCTTCTCCATCATCTCTTTCAACAGGGGTAGTTGACTTGATTCCTGTGTATTTCATCTTGCAAGGTTCACCTGTATTGTCATTGTTTATGTTGTTGAAAAACGGTATTTGCAATGAATAAGTCGTTGGTCTTACAAAATTCTATCATGCAATCTCCAGAGTTGTTTCTGTCACCACAGCTGTATTTTCCAACTACTGATCTTTCTTCTTTCTTCTCAACTTTCACGGTCTAATTACTGGTAAGTATCAACGCATCTTGACTGCGTGTTTCATCAATTTCAGACTGCAGAAGTTGGTAAAAATCTTCAGTTTCTTTATCTTTGGCATTAGTTGGTGGCGCATACATTTGAATAATAGTTGTATAAACTGGTTTTCCTTGTAGGCATATGGATATTATCCTATCACTGACAGGTTTGTACTTCAGGATGGATCTTGAAATATTCTTTTTGACGATGAATGTGATGCCATTCCTCTTCAATTTGTCATGGCATAGTAGACCATATGATTGTCCAATTCAAAATGACCAATACCAGTCAATTTCAGCATACTAACGCCTAGGATACCGATCTTTATGGGTTCCATTTTATTTTTGATGACTTCCAATTTTCCCTGATTCATAGTTTGTACACTTCATGTTCCTATTATTAATGATGTTTGCAGCTGTCTCTTCTCATTTTAAGTCATGCCACATCAGCAAATGAAGGTTCTGAAAGCTTGACTCCACCCACGTCATTAAGGTCGACTACTTTGAGGAGGCAACTCTTCCCTAGTCGTATTCTGAGTGCCTTCCAACCTGCAGGGCTCATCTTCCAGCACTATATCAGACAATGTTCCACTGCTATTATTCATAAGGTTTCCACTGGCCAATTTTTTCAGAAGCAGATCGCCCGGTCTTTCTTCCCAGTCCATCTTAGTCAGAAAGCTCTGCTGAAATCCTTCCACCATGGGTGACCCTGCTGGTATCTGAAATAACCGTAGCATAGCTTTCAGCATAACAGCAAGCCATGACAGTATGACAAACTGACAGATGAGTGGTGGATATTATATATATATGATATATATAAAATATGTATTTTTCATTGTTGTTGTTGTTATTAGGTGCCATTGAGCATCGAGTTAGTTCCGACTCATAGTGACCTCATGGACAACAGAACAAAACAATGCCAGGTCCTGCACCGTCTTCACAATTGTTGTTATGCTTGAGCCCACTGTTGCAGCCACTGTGTCAATCCATCTCCATGAGGGTCTTCCTCTTTTTCGCTGACCCTCTACTTTATCAATCATGATGTCCTTCTTCA